AATCGCACCATAAATGCTCAACAGGGTATTTGGTTGCGATTTTGCCATCAAACTTTGGGAAAGTGGCATGATGCGCTTGCTTTTCATACAACTTAACAAGGTCGTGATGTGCGTATTGGGAGGGTTGACCCATTCCAAAACTTGCACGCGCTTGATGATACGTGTCAAGGGACCGCGGAGGTGGAAATAGGACCTATGATGGTGCGAAGTCCAAAGGGACATAGCTGGACAGTCCAGGCAAGTTCAGAATAGAAGACGTGTGCAGTTGCACAGCAACCACAGGACCGGCCGGTTGTTGTGGGGAGGCCGACAGTGCTGCCAAAAGGCCAGGTGGCCCGCCTACACATGCTATGCCATGTGTTGGAGCTGTGGACGACCCTGGTGTGCTTGGTGTGACAGGTGCTGGAAAAGGTCCCAGTCCTCTTGGTGCCAAAGGAAAAGCAACCCCAAGAACACGCGGTTGTGTAGGGTGGAGATTTACCCACACCCCATGCATAACATCCAAAGAATAGACCAGGATGTTGTTCACCTGGTCAGCAAGCATCCAAAGGAATGCCACCTCTTTGTCCAAAAAATGTCTGTCCGGGATGTCCAGCAGGTGCACGGCGGCTTCAAGAAAGCGCGGCACGTACTCTTCAAAACAAACCTGTGGGTCCCCACGGTCGGGGGTCTGCAAAATGTGATCAACAGCCCCGACGGCATTGGCAATGCGCAACACGTACTTAATTAGCGCAGGACAAGGGGCCATTGTAGCCAAGGAACGACTGGACAATGCAATTGATCCCAAGGTATGCAGCACAGTGGGCTGAGCCCGCTGCGGTATGCCTGGAAGTGGCGCATGCTGCATCCGACTTGAAGACCGCAAGTGGTCACTTACTTGACTACTAGTGCTCAAGGGGCTGTTGGAAACCCGATGTCCCTGCCCCCGTAGAGGAGGCCCAAATTGCTGTGGAGGCATGCGCATAGCCTGTTCAAGATGGGAGAGGGATTCACCAAACTCATGATGCCAAGATCACGGCGCTACGGTGGGTGAGTACTTTTTTGTTTTTGGGGGTATGCCTCAAATTCACCAATTGGGAAGACCCGTTAAGTCCACGCGTAGGCGTAGGTAAAGTCACTGGGAACTCCACACAGGGAGAAAAAATGCCAAGGTTTGTACCACTCACAGTAGACCCGCTGGCCACCAGTTTTGTCAGGTGTAAATGACAAATGTCTTATAGAAATAAGAGACTGTATGCAGCCTTTAGGAGGCCGGATCCTCCTGAAGTGAGTCCCAGAAGCACTCATTTATTGGCAGAGAACCAAAGTAGCAACAGCACCAAGATCTTACAACACCCTCAAAAGATATGCAAGCACACACAAGACACCTCTCACAATAGACAAGGCCTCAGGTAGGAAATTCAGAGAATCGCAGACAACCACTGGTAAGCCAGGCTACTCTCCAAGTGAAGGCTTCGGAGCCTCACGCGATTCCGCATTGATCTCGTTGATTGTTATCTGTTCACCCGGTTCCGCCAGGCGGTAACCGGGTGCCATTGTTGAAGACCTTGGTTCTGGTGGCGGAGCTATGTCAAATCTTGTGCACATGTAGCCCCAGCAAGGATGCTGCGCTCGGGTCACGCCACGTCCCGTCTGGACCCCACACAAACTACAAAAAAATACGCGTTCTACAACTTCTATATCCTCTCACCTGAAACGACGTTCACCTCATCCTTCTAACACAACAGCAGGCAAAATCAAGATCACCGTTCACGACATGAATCAAAAGTTCAGAACCAGCAAAATTCAGTCAATTTCTTCCTAAATCCATTATTTAAAAATACCGTCCCACTCAGTCATTTCGTGAAACCGTAAAGATGGATTTTGCGTTGAGGAATTCGTTCCTTCAATCTTTCCAGAAGATCTAAATCACACGAACTGAAGGGCACACTACTTGGCTGAAATTGTTCCGAGTAAGCGCGGACACGTATCGCGTTGGTGAAGTCGGAAGAAAAACGATTTGTGCGGCGTACGATCAAATTGAACTGCTCGGTCTCGAAAGTTACAGTACTGTACTGCATTCTAAACACGGAGTTTTTCGCCACCGTCATGGTATCCCGCTCTTCCGACATTATCGCACACTTCCAATTCTAAGCGAAGATGTGATGGAAATCGGAACCCAGATTTTACTCCCACAGACAGAATGACTGGTGATAGTTCACGGATTGGACCTTTCCGTCAAGTCTACGTGGATACACTGATCCCCACAAGATGGCCGAGAACGTTGGCACACTCCCGTCGAATCACTACCGGTTTCCGCCAGCCCTCTCATTGGCTGAGCGTCCGTGGTAACAGCAGAGTCGACGATAATCCTCAACTGGCCTCTTCCTATTCCGGAAACCGTTGGAGAAGTATGTGCGCAAATGCTTGAGGCTGAAAACCTGGAACCCTTTGAAAGGAGCAGAGGAACATTCCCGTATCTCTTGGCGAAGCGGACACCACTGCACTGTGATGGTCATGTCATCCTGTGCTTTCCTCCATGAAACAACAATTGTACATTGACATGTGTACAGATAACAGAAAAGTACAGTACATTAGTGGGTCCATGATTGGTATCTGTATCTGCATGGCTTCCTTCAGGATGAGATTTAACCATTTTTTCTTTGAATTTTCATAATCCTTGTACAACCTAGGTTGGATAGTGGTCATGTATAGTTTAACCTGGGTGAACATCATGATGAGAAGCTGCAACTATAGCACTTGTTCATGCATGCATACTGGGTTCAAACTGGTTGGTGGGTTATTGAAAAAGGAAATTCTACTATAATTTTCATGAAACTATTTGTCTTTTAATAACAATCGATAAATAATTTCTACAATTCATTATAACTGTGATTGCATGAAAATTCCATGGAATAAAAGGGATACATCCTTATTATGCATTTTTTTTATAGATACAGTATATACTACTGCTAAATTTCCTGGTGTATTTTTTCAGCAATATTTTAAAAATGATGTTTAAAGATTGTCGTTATTTTAGAAAACAAATCAAATTAACCTGGAAAATGTAAAATTCAGTACGCATATATCCATCCATCGCTCCGAGAAAGTAATGAATGTCTTCTTAGTTTTTATTTCTTGAAAATTACAGACAATTCACAAAAATTAGAATTATTGTTATGCAGGGACCTGAGGCAAAATATTAAATATTTGGTACCCTTCCAACATTTACCGCGTACATCTGAGTGGTCAATTATTTTGGCACATTGCATTCTGGTTTCCAGGGAGAGTAAAATTTATTAGGAAGAAATTACCCGGAGGGACACTTTGTAGTGGACATCAATGGGGTTCGCCTTTCAACTTTTGGAGCTTTCAGTTGGCATGATCAAAATGCATTGATTTCAAGAATGATAATTTCCTTAAAAAGCAATTGAAATGACAACAAAAAAAGCACAGGGAAGAGTAACAAAAATCAGTGGAACAGGATGCTCTAATGGAAAATTTCAGAGCTTCCCTTCACGTAAGAACCACTTTCCATTGCTGCAACATAAAGTTTCCCATGTTTTATATCCAAGAATTCCCACAGATTTTTGAAATACAGAATTTTCAAGTGGGAGATGCATCCTGTAGATATTTTGAAGCTGCATCGCTATAATTGAACTTAGGGGTGGATAAATATTATCTTTTGAATTTAAAATTCAACTCATTTGATTCAGATGAAAGCACCCTCTGTGAAAGCAAACCCTGAATTTTCAGGCCTTGCTTTCAAAATACTTCTCATTTTTCCTTCCAATCTTGGAACAAATGCCAGTTTTCCAGAGTCCAATCTTCCAGCATATGTTATGGTTTCTCTGGATTCCTCTGTATTTGACTCAGGAAGAGGCCAAACTTCAAATTAATGCAAAAGAAGCCACTGTAAAGCAATCAGCATTTGATGGCCATTCCATCTTTTGTTTCATTCTGCACTTGATCTTCAATGTTCAGCTCACAGGGAAGTACCACTTGGGGGTGTCATCTTTCTTTCCACAATGAAGCAAGGATATTTTTGAAAAACCCATAGCCCAAGAAAACAATTTTAAAAACCGGGATTGCTGATCATCACGTGCTAAATTTTTGGGAAAGTCAATTTGATGCAGTGCATAAAATATTCACTGAAAGAATCCTCACTTGCGGGAGTCCCCAAAAAACCTGCTTCTCAGCAATGAGCTGCATTTTGGCAAACATTTTTTAACTAAATATGTTCCTACATCAAAAATTGCAAAGGCTTTACCTGCCTGAAAATAAAATTTTGCTTCTTTTTTTTGGGAAAAGATGCATATTACAAATAACTTTTTTCTCAATCCAAGCCACAATCAGAGTGTAAAAAAGTTTGTTTCACCCAAAAATTGTGGGCTTCTCAGCAATAAGCTATTTTTGGCAGTAAAAATATTTTCTAACCAAACATGTCCATACATATGCAATTTTAACCCTTCTGTGGCAGTCAGACTTTTTTTCCAGATTTTGTTTGCACTCAAGAGTGGAATTTAAAAAAAACCCTAACAGTGTGTGCAGGGCAAAGTTGGGAAAAATCCTGGCATTTTTTAAATTTTCCACAGAAAAATTTCACCTGAAAATGAAAAAATGAAAACTTCAAGGCTCCCTTTTCCCCCCTGGTCTTGTGTTGTTTCCCCATTCAAAGATTAAATTTAAGCTTGAATGCCAGGAAGCCCAGGTTAGAGGTCAATACAGAAAAAGTCCTACACTCAGGACTTTCCCAGCATTTCTTTATCCCCCACCTGGCATGGGTTGCATAACCTTGTGCAAAAAAGTTATGCAGGCCCATGGAGAAATAATCCAACTTTGCCCTGGGATGGAAAGGAGGCTACTGCCATCCAAGGGTTACAGGCTGAAACTTTACCAGCTTGAAAATAACATGTAGCCTTCCTTGGGAAGAGATGCATACAGTAAAAAAATTCATTTTTATCTCCATCCAAGCCACAAGCATACTCCAAAAAAAAATTACAGAAGACAGACAAAACAAATGAATCCGCAAACTTTTTTTTTTTCTCCAAAGGAATCATTGTCTTCTACTGACCAGATGGAGAAACGAAATAAAAGCAACCATCAGGTGGATGGAAGGTTTCTCAAGCACAGTTGTGGAAGATTCAGTGTCGGGTGCATACAAAAGCCTCCATCGCCGACTGCCTTCTTCCCACCCCAAAGGTAAATTTTTAGCCTCCACATATTGTTTCAAATACTTCCGCAATGGCTTGAAATAATTCAACATGGGTTCCAAGCTCATCTCTTCTCTTCCCGTGAATTCCAAGAGAACTTCTTTCCAGTGACGAGAACTTCCCGCTTCCAAGAGATCCCTGGAAAAAGTTAAAATTCAGTTCAGAATCTTTCCTGGAAAACGTTTTTTTTGGAGAGACTTATTTGCCTCAGTTTTCGCCCAGCAGCTTTGCTTTTCATAATGTCGCATTCATGCAGAGGCATTTCGTCTGGATCGTAGGGGTTGAATTGGCCGGCTTCTTCGCACAGGGCTTGGTGGAACTGGAACTGCAAAATTCTGGCCACAAAGTATTTGGCGTATTGGACGTCGTTTGCAACGTGGAATTTTGCGCCGGCGTCAAAATAGTCCTCGTTCCTTTTCACTGGTGGAGTGATTCCTTGATATTGTTCCCTTTATTGTATTGGGGCAGGAAATTTGGAGATTTCATCCTCATGCTTCAGAACTGTGTTTTTTTTTCAAGTGCTGTATCATTAAATTTTGGAGTGGTATTACTAAGCTACATCAATCAGTGAGAAACTCCAAACCAAAATGGGGGAAAATGCAGTACTTTCCTGTTATATCAGTATCTACTTTCCTGTTATCTCTGTACCGTCCCTCTGACCAATTTAACCTGACCTATCCTAACTTCACCTAACTGCCTCCCAAAATCAGTTTCTGCTTTCTTTGGATTTCTGCTGAAACTGATTTTGGGAGGAGGTTAGTTAAGGTTAGGTCAGGTTATGTTAGTTAAAATAATTTGTAACTAATATAACCTGGCCTAACCTAACTTTACCTAACTGCCTCACAAAATCAGTTTCAGCAGAATGCAAAAAAATAAAATTCACAGTTTCTGATAGGTCGTTGTGATTATGAACTTGTCCTAGAGATTTGTCTTGATGGTAGTGCGGTCTAGGAATGAGGTACTGAGATAACAGGAAAGTACCAAAAATGCTTCAAAAGAGTCCAAGTGTTGTTCATTACATTCTCAAGATTCAATATTCTGTTTTCCAAAACTGATTCATCATAAAATCTATACAGCAGTCTCAGACTTATTTCTTTGATGAGTAGAATTTTTCCCTCTTCAAAACTGAAACCAACAATAAAAATCAAAGTTCTCTTTATTTGTGCATATTCTTTTATACAGGGTGGACCAATTTTTTAAACTATAATCTTCTTCTCTGTCATTCATTCATTGGTTTTGTATGTAGTCCAGTTTTGGATAAAACAACAGTTTATACTGTACAGTGGATCCTAACATCAATGCAGTTAAATTATATAATCCATTCCAAAATGTTTTTTTTAAATCCAAAACGTGAATTTTAATAATTTTCTCATTTAAAACATATGCAGTCCATTCCAGGCAAACAAAAACCAAGAATAAACCTGAAAGGATCTCATGAATCTCAAGCTATGAAATTGTGTCAATTCATTTCAAGTGGATAATTCTGGAAATTTCAAGCTCTGGAATTCTCGAAGTGTACAAACTTGTGGGGCAATAGAAATGGCAGCACAAATTTGATCCATTATATCTCCATTAGAATTTTAGCTTTGATAGGCATATTAAAAAATTTAGCTCAAAACTCTCTGACATTAATATTTTTCAAAAAATTGTGTCATAAAATAATTTTCTTCTGTAAGTGCTTTTTTCAAAAAGGAATTCTGATTTTCAAACATTTTCTATAACAGACATATTGTTGAGCAGAGTCCCACTAAGAGAAAGTTGTCTTAGGAGCTATCCATCTTCTTTCAAGAATTTCAACACACATGGATGAATTACAAACTCACACCAGCTTCCACCAAGCTGTATTCAAGTTCTCCTTTGTGATGATCCCTTGGAAAACTCTCCACCTGTACAGGTCAATCACATAGCTGAAGGGCAGGAATGCAAATCTTTCCAATAAAATAATGTACCTGGATTTGCACCATCCCTAAACAGAGGTGATTGTTTCACATACTGCATGTAATACTGAACATGTCCCATTTCATGGTGAATTGTGATAAAATCGTCAAAGTTCACTGATGTGCATTGCTTGATCCTGCAAATGGTATCCACAAAATGATTAACCGTCATTTCTGAAAGATATTTGGTTGAAGGGTACCTGAAATCCCCTGGTAACTTATTTGTTGCCATCATGTCAAAAGCAAAAGCATGGCAAAGAACTTCTCTCCCATCCCCTGGCTTCTCCAACATGGAATTTTCATAAAAGTTTGGCGATCCTTCTTGCAGTCCAACTAGTCCCAAACTCACCAGGAAGTTATCAGCCAACTGAAACATCTGCCTCACAGAATAATTCCCCTGGAGGCAAGAAGAATGATCATAGAAACAAAAACAACCATCCCTTAAAATCCTTCAGATCAGCATTTGATTACTTTTCCCTGCATATTCACAGCCCACTTGATAGGACCAATAGGGCTGAAAGGATCAGCGACCCATTATTGGGACTTCAACTTGAACAAAATCCAAACCACTAAAATGATACATTTTCAGATTGCTTGATGGGACCAAAATACTGCATAAAACGGTCATCAGTGGTGATTTGGCACTGTAAAATTTCTTGATTAATAAGAAAAAGGAAAAAATTGACTAATGTAATCTGTACTTTGGGTCTACTTCATGTTCTTATAAATTTAAATGTGTTTTACTGGCTTTTTAATCACCTCCATGTCAATCAGGTTTGTGTGAATATTTGTTTCATGAAATTTAAAATTGATCATTGTAACATCTTGATCTAAATATAGTACAGTATCACAAAAATAGGTTTCCACTCACAAATAGAATTACTTTACCAGATGAAATTACAAGATCCCTTGCCAAGTACAAGCAGGCAAACGCAGACAGTGGCTAAAATACTGAAAATCTAAAATAATTGTTCGTCAAACTTGGAAATCAAGTTACAATGAAGAATGAACTGAATCAAGTTTCGTTTCAAAATGTATATAATTTCAATTCCACTCACGCTGATCAAACTCTCTGTGATGTTGTATCCAACTGCTTCGCCAAATTCAGAAACAATGGGATAAACGTGTTGCCATTCCTGCGCCCACATGTTTCCTTTTTTTTTGGAATCAACGAAGACGGATCATCAGCTTGAAGTTCAGATAATTTTTAATTCAGGCGGTACTGTTACTATTTTATAGATTCCACCATGAAAAAAAACTCCAGACTTGAATTTCTCCATAGTCATGGAGATTCACTTTAAGGTAAGGATTTTGTATGTCTCATGAGAATTGGTCACGCATTGACTCCAGTACATAACGTTATTCGTACTGTATGACGCACATTTTGTTCATGTACCTTGAAAATTTCATCTGTGAGAGTAAGAGGAACCCGTGTAGTCACTCAGAATAAGATGTTTCTCGCTGCTGGTTCTTCAGTTATCAGCACTATCTCCTAAACCAATTTTACATAAATAGGAATAAATCGCATGAATCGAAAATGGAGGATCCTGCCAAATATAAGATTTATTATTCTCATTAAATTTTCTAAGAAAATTTGATCCAACTTCAGGACATGCCAAACTATGGACCCAGTCTTGGAAATAATTATGTACATATCTTGGGATGCCACTGCTGCTGCTTGAAAAGTGAATTCCTGTATATGTACTGGAGGATTATTTAGCTTCAGTGAGACTTGTTCAGAAAAGATGTCGACTAAGCAGCACAGCATGTTTTTTCTGATGCTTCACAAAGGAACTCACCAAAAAGATGAGCTGGAATCGGTCCTTTGGGATCGATCTTGTCTTCACCGAAATGCAGTCGCAGTTTGTATCTCACCATGGCATGCAATTCTCGATAAAACTCCATGGCTTCACCGTACAAGGTTTCAAACTCCTCCTGAATGCCCTCTGTTTCATAAACTCGCAGCCAGAGGTCAGCACCACTCGCAATTCTGGACTCATCTGCACATCGAGTATATGAGACAAGGAATGAAAACAACGCATGCCTGAATCTTAAAGCGGAAAATGCCAAGTTGTGGATGATATATTAAACTGGCTATGAAATATACCATTGTTGGCAATTGCTGCATCATTCGTCAGTTGAACGTATTCCAGAAATTTATCCCGCATTTTTCTGCCGGTTGCATCTCGCCATTCTTTCCACACATGAGCCAATAAGTCATAATCCTTCTTGGAGTTGCAGGTTGCCATGATGTTTTCCAAATCTTGGAAGCAGAATTTGTTGTGTCAATGCTTCAAGTTTCAGAGCTTACAACATTAATATACTCAAACCTCGAAATGCATTAAATTTTATTCATAATACTGTATTTATAAATCATTGTCTGAATTTATGCGCAAATTTAGGTTTGAGAATAGATGGTGTTCCGTAAATAATACATCACATTAAGTTTAAAAAAAAAATTGCTCAACAGTCTTCCTGGTGGATTGTATGTTTGGGATCAATAATTGAGGGCCCACAGTACAGTACATTTCTGCATTATTTTACTGTAGCCAAAATATGTTTCATCAGAATGCTTCATTGCTTGGCACTTCCTCATATGAATGTGCAGTGCTTGGAAAACACATACAGTAATTTCCCATTTAAAAATGGAAAGATTCCTTCTTTCCAGGGTGTCTCATTTCAAGGTGCATCTTCAATTCACTTCACCTTATGGAATTTCAACATTGCAAGAAAACCCAAGTTCATGATAAGTGATTACAGAAATTCATTGAAGTTCATTTTTAGTGTCTCCAAATGAGTCAAAAATGTAGCTTCTTTTTAAGCATATAAACAGTGCCTGAATAGTTGAAGCAGTTTGGAAAAAATTGCACCAACTTTCAAATGAAATTGTCTTAGTATGAAACCATTTCCATATCTGAGACAGACAGCAAAAGTCAAGAGCTATTCTTGCATTCTTGTTGTGACTTAATTTAGTGCAACCTTGCTGTAGCAATTCTTTGGCTACCTTGTCACTGAAAAATATACAGTAAGACTAAAAAAACTATTGTTGTTTTGCTGCTATATCCAGAAGGCAAGTTGAATCCTTCCATATACTGCATTAATTATACAATTTATTAAAATAAAAGGTGGGCCAAAAAAATCAAACCAATTTTTGACTTGAAATAGTTTGGTAGCAAATTTAGCTGCGGGAATGAATAAATAGCACCAAATGAAGGCTTGTTCAAATCCCTCTGAAATGGTATGCAGTTTTATGGACCCAATAAGTACCACAGAGAATTGTAATGAATAATTAAATGGGTGCACTTTCTGAATGACCCCATGAATATTGCTTCAGAGCCTGAATTTTACAATTGTTGCCACTACAAAATTGCAAAGAAGTGCCCTTTTCAATTGCTCAAGTGATGTGAAAGTGAAATAAAAACCTGGTTCGAGTGACAAAGTTGGTTCTGTGCAATTCTTGTCCTCGAATGGGCAGATTTTCGCAGACGCGTAGATAGAAGTCATCTCCGTAACAAGCTGGTTTCTCTGCGTGGACGTGACAGAAAGAATTTATACTAAATGTCACACGGCGATGTGCAAAAGTATACAACAGTATATGTTTTGCGTAATATGATTCATTGAATCGAACCCTTTGCAATTTTTGATCATCCAACGCAGCCACGCCGAGAACCAGGATGGAATGAAATCTTCGTCTGAGTTCTTCGTCTTCATACGACTCCAGAACTTCTGTATCGAAATTGCTGATGTTCGACATCCATTCGTTTCTTTGCCATGAGAACAGTGCTAAAGATGCGGCATCCTGTTGAAATCCAACATTGAGACATTCAAAGATTTTCATGTCATTTAGATTTTCCACCAATACGCAACAAATATTACTGATCAGTTTACATGGAATGCGCTGTTTTATTTTGTGGGGAAGACACGCATATTCTGGGGAGTCATGTATTGGTACTCATGATGAAATTAATTTTTTTTTGAAGGAAAGTGGGACAGAGTGGAAGAAGAAACCTGAGCCATCATCATTCCAAAACAAAAAATGTGGTCATCATCAAGGTCTAACTTGTTGAATCAGAGCTTTTTAAAATGTTGTGTAATACCACTTTTCAAGACACACCAGTGTTCATATAACTGATGGCAAAGTAAAGAGAAGACTGGAGCACAATTTTGGACACCTTAACATGCAGGCAATTATATTTATGTACACCTTGAACTCAGAAATAAAAAAAATGGCTTTGGAGGCCTTTCCAAAATTTCCAGAAGAAAAATTATTCTGATATTTTTTAAAAACAAATATTGAGCCATCACCATGGACATGCAAGCCAAAATGGATCAGGTGATGCATTTACTCTAATTTGAAACATGAAGGTACAGTATTCGGTTCTGGTTGAACTTGAATGGCTCCTGAAAACTGAACAAAAACATCAATTGAAGGAAAGAAGTTACACAGAGAATATCACCACAAAGAGCCAAATACTGCCTTGGAACATATTATGGCATTAGTTATTCACTTGAACAAGAAATACAGTACTTGTGAATTGATATCAACTTTTCATGGAGTGCAGACAAGGTATACAAGCAGTGTAGCCAAACAAGTGGGCATAAAATAAACTCCTTTTAAACCTTTATTTTCTGGAAAATGCACTTTCCACTACAATGGCACTACAAACTGCACAAAAAAGTTGAGGAATTATCTTGGAAACTTGGAGATTTATGTTTTACATGGAGGAAGTTTCACAAAAAGTTTGAGTAGGACCTTACCTAAACAAAGGAAGACGTTTCTAGGTAAAGGGTTAGTCGTAATTAGTAAAGGTTCGTACGTATTGTTATGAAGTTAGGAACGAACTTACATAAGGTTTATCTATTAATTCCTTCATTAATTGATGCTGAATCCTGTAAATTTCTTTTAAATAAGCTAGTTCAGTTCCATGCGCTGGTTTTATCTCAAGTTAAGAAAACAGGAATCCACACGCAAACCCCTTACTTCAATGACAATTATATTCTGTGGTCAAAGCACCCCTTCTCCACGTTACTCACCCTTTGAGCAGAATTTTCCAGGGTTATGTTGGTGTGATACGTCCAATCTGCCAAGTTTTTGAACTGAAGCAATTCTCTGTACTTTTCTTCGTAGAAGTCCAGATAAGCCCGGATGCCGGCCAAGCTGACTTCATCATGGAGCTTCTTCGAGTTTTCCCGTTTCACCCTCACCAAACTTTCAACCTTGGGCACTGATTCCCGAAAATTTCCGAACACTTGGAAGATGGAACACAAACAACCAAGGAGTAGCATAACAGGCACTATAAAGAGTCTCATTGCTCTGCAAGTCCTTGAGGATGTTTACTGCGCGCAGTTTCCTCAGGGGCCGCGGCCCACCTACACAAGGCTCAGCGGAGCCATTAACTACGCAATTGACGGACGTCTACACCGTACTCCCACTTTTGCAAGCATGTACCCAAGCCAGACAATGTCCCGGCGGGACACAGCTTCAAGTTCGAAGACTTTTTTCATGTTCATGAATTAGGGCATTCACATCCCACCTTTTCCTCCAAAACATACGCCCACAGTGAGCATAATTTTTGAGCATATATTTTTCTCTTTTTTACTTTGCAACATATTTCGTGAGCATCTTAATTGCAATGCATTTGGTGGTTTACATTTTAAAAATTATTGCTGTATTAGTAAACATTTATAATTGGGCTTGAATGAAACTAGCAGATGGAAGTGTGAAACAAAATAACAATTGAATTTCAATTTCCTGAGTAAATCTGAAATTTTACTTTGCATTTCCGGGAATACAATTTAATTTGGAAAAAGAGCATCAAAGAAAACTAGAGTGTGGGTCTCATACTGAGGTTGATTCTTTATAAAACATTCCTCTAAAACTTCATGGTGTTGGTATTATTGGAGGGCAAGTTTAACTTGAGCACACAGTATACGGGACAGAGGTTTCTTAATTTAAATTTGCCTTCCGAGTTTGTGAAATTGATGGGGTCTTGAATTCTGGCACTTGAAAAAGACAAGTTTTTATTGATTTAAAAATAAGCCCCAATCCAAATAAATAAAATAATGTCCATTTTGGACAATTGTACATCCTCTTCTTGATGGATATAATTTTGAAGGCATGGTTGTTTTGTTTCCTAACTAAGACTTGTCAATTTTACATCTGTACCCTCATATAATACCGATTAAATATTTTCCATACGACATGACACGAAGTTGAGTTCCACTGTACTTCACGTAACCTACTACAACCAGATGAAATAAGCTAATGATTAAAAATGGACATATAACTGGACATATTTCAGGGTTTTCATTGCAGTGCACTGAGTTCATACTCTAATGTCTGACATTTTCCAAAGTGGCATTTCTTTTGCAGAGAATCTGTTATGACATTGAAATTTCACCAAGAAACCTTTTCTGGGATTTCTATGCAAATGGCAAAAATTAGTGCTTCACTCCTAAAACATACTTTTCATTTAAATTTCACCTTCATGTGGTCATATATGATATATTTTTTCCATGAAGATCCCTATGCCTTTTGTGGATTACTGATCTACTTTGAAGCAAGCAGCATGTGCATTTAACATTTCCCAAGTTAACTTCTTATTTATTTCATGTTACATTGAACAGGGAATAATGNGGGCACTGATTCCCGAAAATTTCCGAACACTTCTTGGAAGATCGAACACAAACAACCAAGGAGTAGTATAACAGGCACTATAAAGAGTCTCATTGCTCTGCAAGTCGTCCAGGATGTTTACTGCGCGCAGTTAGGAGTCCCCGGCGCCGGGTGGATGTGTTCCGAGTCGCCTCGGTAATTGATGCGTTAACTGCCTGCAGATGTGGCATGAGGGTGAAAACGTTCGTACATGGGTTCGGTCTGTTACAGGGCCGCCCTGTGAGCTTCAAGTTCGAAGACTTTTTTCATGTTCATGAATTAGGGCATTCACATCCCACCTTTTCCTCCAAAACATACGCCCACAGTGAGCATAATTTTTGAGCATATATTTTTCTCTTTTTTACTTTGCAACATATTTCGTGAGCATCTTAATTGCAATGCATTTGGTGGTTTACATTTTAAAAATTATTGCTGTATTAGTAAACATTTATAATTGGGCTTGAATGAAACTAGCAGATGGAAGTGTGAAACAAAATAACAATTGAATTTCAATTTCCTGAGTAAATCTGAAATTTTACTTTGCATTTCCGGGAATACAATTTAATTTGGAAAAAGAGCATCAAAGAAAACTAGAGTGTGGGTCTCATACTGAGGTTGATTCTTTATAAAACATTCCTCTAAAACTTCATGGTGTTGGTATTATTGGAGGGCAAGTTTAACTTGAGCACACAGTATACGGGACAGAGGTTTCTTAATTTAAATTTGCCTTCCGAGTTTGTGAAATTGATGGGGTCTTGAATTCTGGCACTTAAAAAAGACAAGTTTTTATTGATTTAAAAAAAAGCCCCAATCCAAATAAATAAAATAATGTACAGTTTGGACCATTGTACATCCTCTTCTTGATGGATATAATTTTGAAGGCATGGTTAAAAACAAAGGATTGATTCTGAACAGTTAAAATGTAGACATGGGAGTATATTATGGCTAATTTATAAAAGGTATGCTGTACTGTGCTTCAACTCAAGGTGACATGAAGTGCATTGGATGATGTTGGTCTTGAAATAAGCTAAAGATTAAAAATGGACATATAACTGGACATATTTCAGGGTTTTCATTGCAGTGCACTGAGTTCATACTCTAATGTCTGACATTTTCCAAAGTTGCATTTCTTTTGCAGAGAATCTGTTATGACATTGAAATTTCACTAAGAAACCTTTTCTGGGATTTCTATGCAAATGGCAAAAATGAGTGCTTCACTCCTAAAACATACTTTTCATTTAAATTTCACCTTCATGTGGTCATATATGATATTATTTTTCCATGAAGATCCCTATGCCTTTTGTGGATTACTGATCTACTTTGAAGCAAGCAGCATGTGCATTTAACATTTCCCAAGTTAACTTCTTATTTTTTTCATGTTACATTGAACAGGGAATAATGGTGCTAGGAGTGACCTAGGACACACTTGAACTACACTAAAATACATCTAATTCCTCATTGGACAGGATAAGTGTATTTTTCAACACATTTTACAAATCTGAAAACCTCCCTGAGCGCTCAGGGAACACTGCATGAACATAATATTGGGCATGTTTAACATATGCCTGTATGTAATCCTTTTTCTTTTAAACTTGAATGTATTCCACAGATTTAAATCCTAGCTCTGTAAATTTAGTAAAAGTACCAACCAGGTTGAGTTCTCCAATGTTGGTGCAGGTCACCGGAAAGAATCACCGCCGACAAAGTAGACCCTTGAGCGGAACTGTTCCAGTGCTTCATAAGCCCCTGCAGGAAGGACAGGGAATGAGAGCCTATGCTGGATAGTTCATTATTCCTTTTTTTCCTTGCTCTACAAGGGGGTGCTGGTGTCAAGTTCCAAATTCCAAATGGTCTTATAGCTTCCTTCAGAAAACCCATTGTCATCCACTTTCTGTGAACAAACGGAAAAAACTGTGCAGCTCTTTACTCTCACATTTTTCTGCCTACCCAGCTGACGAATGAATTAAAAAATCATATTTTTTTTAAGCTCAGTGAACACACTGTCCAAGAGTCATGAGCTGAATACCGTAATAAAATAATGTGATAATGCCGGAAAAGCAACATTTCAGTGATTACACGCAGGCCTGATGGGAAACGGTTTTCAAATCATTAATTTTGAAAATCTGGTTATAAGAAGTTGTAAAAAACAACAAGCGTTTTCTGAAGACCCGATAGGGAATGAGAGCCTATGCTGGGTAGTTCATTATTCCCTTTTTTCCTTGCTCTACAAGGGGGTGGTGGCAAGTTCCAAGTTCCAAATGGTCTTATAGCTTCCTTCAGAAAACCCATTGTCATCCACTTGCTGTGAACAAACGGAAAAAACTGTGCAGCTCTTTACTCTCACATTTTTCTGCCTACCCAGCTGACTAATAAATTATAACATATTTTTTTGAAGCTCAGTTTACACACTGTCCTAGAGTCATGAGCTGAATACTGTAATAAAATAATGTGAGAATGCCGGAAAAGCAAGATTTCAGTGATTACACGCAGGCCTGATGGGAAACGGTTTTTAAATCATTAATTTTGAAAATCGGGTTATAAGAAGTTGTAAAAAACAACAAGCGTTTTCTGAAGACCCGAATAGGGTTTGATGTACTGTAGGAAGATTTTACGGTAATGTCAAATTTTCCCTTTTTCTTGATGCAAAAGTCAGGTTGAGCTTTGCTTACCGTATTTTTCTCCGGACTGGGTAGTTCAACATGGCAGTTGAAGTTCATGCATAGTATTTTCCAAGGATGAGATTCACATCATAATACTGATGGAACTCACTTACACCACAAGAGCCCCAGGGAAATGTTCATGAATTATGTAGGACTGTAACTGTGCTACTGGAACGCCTGAAGGAATGAGAAGTGGATTCTGATGAGAATGAACTCCTCTGTAATGTGTGTTTCTGGTCTTGCCTTGAGGGAATTTGTTTCCTTGTACAGCAAGAAAAAGATCTTCTCTTCACCTTCTGGGGCTCATCAGAAACCGCTGGAAGAATTTTCTTCTTTCTGGAGGCATTTTGTAATGTGTGTATGCAGGTGATGCTGGATGTATTCTCAGGTTTGTTTGAAAAAAGGAAAGCTGGAACATGTGCATCGCGGTTTGTGAGGATCACTGTAAGGGAGTGGTATTTAGCAATCTTCCATGAAATTGAAAACGCATTTGGCAGTATATCATAGATCTTCCTTATCTGTTTGTATTTTTCGTAGCTTTCCTGTAATTCAACGATTCAAGTGAGCTTACAATTCCATTGCAGTGTGTTCAAAGGCCCGACTTTCGAATATATTCCAAGATAAAATTACTCTCATTCATCATTAAAACCCATCTGATTTTGTTCTTCCTGCATCAGTTTAGTTGTTTTCTATCATTGTGCACATCATAGCAAGACTTATTCTTGCTCTTCTCTCGTTCGGGTCATCTTTATGCCAAAATATCAGACTTTGTGAGGTTTTCTTCAGCACTCTAATTTTCTATAACTTGGAGCTATACAAAACAATTTTTATTTATATTTCTGGAAGACTTATTCTTAACTTTTGATCAACTGGAGAACCTATTGATGACATTTGCATGAAAGCCCGTGGGAAAATTAGGTTCAAAATGCAGACAATCCCACATATGGACAAGGTCCAAGCACCAATTACATCCGAATCTTGGGGTCTCACTCTGTATCAGTTGCACATCATGGAAAACTGGAACCTCCTGCCAATGAGAGGGTATATTCAGTAAGGCCCCTTTTTCCAAATATGTTGAGGGATATTGGTCTAATAAAAGTGTGCGGCCACATTAATAGAGGATGAGAAGGTAATCACACTAATCACCAATTCTCCACACATTTTTTACACCACTAATTCAGGGCATTTTTGGAGGAAGGGGCCTCAGTGAATACCGTCTCATCTTCTACATTGAATAAAAATTTGACCCCACACTTTTATTAGACCACTATCCCAGGACATTTTGGAACAATAAGTTCATTTCCCCCATTTTTAGTGCATAAAAGCCTATTTTCATATTTTTAAGGCATTTTTTAAAACTCTTTCAAATGAGAAAAAATCCATGGAATGTTCATCACTGAAAACAGATTTCATCACTAAATCTTGCCTGTCATTGCGTTGTGATAGCTCAATCACATGTTCTGTGTCAGGTCCCTCTCATTCCTAATGCCAAGAAAAAAAAATCCTGAACCTTGAATTGAACTCAGACCACGCAGGCAAGTGCAATAAATATGATAGACTTTAAATTAGTACTTAAATGTATTCACAGGATCCAGACTCCAGAGATGGGAGGCAAGGTTTG